GGGAGGGCAGGGACAAGGGGAAAAATGAGAATCAAGACCTATTATGTAAAGGTACAGAATCCCAATGATGAATGTAATTGTATCGTATACCTAGATTGTACCAATAACCTCAATAAAAAGAAAAAAAATAGTAGGAGAGGACAGAGAAAGGCCTAAAACTGTTGTCTCTTACACAGTGACCATGGTTGCTGATTCACTGTTAGCTGTTTCAGTCAGGCCTCATTCTAGCACGTGGAAGGGAGAAGAGGGGTGTAATGAGGAAGGAGAGACCCACCCAAATCAGTGGGGTAAGTCGTGGGGAAGCTCTTGCTGCTTTCGTCAAGCACAGAAAGTGATGTCTCACTTCCTTGAAAACGCCTCTTAGAAGTGTATGTTCGAAATTATTTACCTAAGAAATTATAGGTAAATTATGAAACTGAGGTGACCACCATGACATGAACCATTCTAGATGAGCATAAAAAGCATGTCACAAAATACAATCATAGCAAACTCATACAGTATAATGAAATCTATAGAATATTCTGAACAGGGAACCAGGCATGGTGGTGCACACCTGTAGTCCCAGCACTGAGGAGGCAGAGGCAGGAGGATCACTGTGAATTTAAGGCCAGCCTGGGCTACATAGTGAATTCAAGGCCAGCCTGAACTATATAGTGAGACCCTGTCTCAAAGAATGTACATATATATAATATATGCACATATATATTATGAATAGCACAATCATAAACTCCATATTGTGCAAAGAAATCTATTTAAGTGGCAAAACTATAGTGACAGCAATAGAATGACTATCAAAATGTCAGGGAGTTTGCTACTCATGTGAGAGGAGCACAGGAGTGGGGACAGCTAGGAACTCTTCTGTTGTGGGTAGTTTTTCACTAATGTGGGTTTTTTATTTTAAAATTTAAAAATTGGATAGCTCTAAGGAACATTCCACTGAATATGTGACCATTTAAAGTAAAGATCCTATTTACAGTAGTTTAACTTTGCCACAGGAATACACGATGAATGGCCTCAAGATACTAAAACAGATGCACATCTGTATAGAATTGCAGATAACATGATCAGTAAGTACATTACTCAGCTGCTATCACTGTCAGAAAATCTTTGATATACACAGTTTGTAAGGAGGAAAGATACTTTGGCTCAGTTTCCGAGGTTTCAGTCCATGGTTGGCTGGCTCCATTGCTTTTAGGCCTGTGGCAAAGCAGAAACATCACGATGGAAGGGCACGGTAGAGGAAAGCTGGTCACTTCATGGAAGCCAGGAACCACAGAGAGGAGGCGGAAGGGGCCAGGGCCAAGATACAGTCACCAAAGTCATCCCCCATGATTTACCTGGCTCAGCGGGGTCCCAGCCTCACATTCCGATCGTCTCCAAACAGCCTCTCAGAGTATGAACCCATCAATGGATTAACTCTCAGGATTGGAGCCCTCAGGATTCAGCCACTTCCCAAACTGTCACCGCTGACTATTGCAGTACTGAGGAACAAGTCCCCAGTACAAGAGTCTTTAGGGAACTTTTTCATATTCCAACTATCACAGTGAGGGAAGAAAGATTACTTAGTCATTTCGTTTAGGCAAAATGATTATCTATACAATAAATTTACCTATCATTGAATTCCCAAAATAAATTCCACGAAGATATTTTGAAGGGAAAACAAAAACAAGCTAGGGGTGTTGGCACACGCCTGTAATCCCAGCACTTGGGAAGCTGAGGCAGGAGGATCGCCACGAGTTCAAGGCCAGCCTGGGTTATATAGTGAGACCCTGTCTCAAAATGAAAAAAGAAAAAGAAAAACAAATTCTGAGTCTATACATTTTCTCTATAGCCTCTGGCATCCTATTTTCAGCATTTATGATTATTTCCATGTTTATAAGGAATGCAAACATTGATCTTGAAATGTTACTTTTGTTCACATTTTTCTTATTGTTGAGCTGTAGCAACCAGGAATACTAAATGTCTGGGTTCCTAGAATAAAGGACCCTAAAGGTCTGCATGGCATACAGTGCACATAGTTTGACCACAGATCTTATGGTGCTGTGTAGTGTTATTGTTTTATCTCAGACTCACAGATAATTATAAATGATACACTAATTATAAATTATACACTGAGAGCTGGGCATGGTGGCACACGCCTGTAATCCCAGCACTCGGAGGCTGAGGCAGAAGGATCGCTGTGAGTTCAAGACCAGCCTGGACTGCATAGTGAGTTCCAGGTCAGTCTCAACTACATAGTGAGACTCTGCCTCAAAAAAAAAAATTGTACACTGAGATCGTTGTTTCTTTGTTTAACTATGTTATGGTTTGTCTTTAGATGTCTCCGCAAAGCCTCATGCAGTTATAGGTGGGATTTTTTCAGAGGTGACGACCTAGAGTGTATGATTTAATTCATAGGACAGTGCTAGGTTCAAAGTATTAGGATTAAGGGTGTGAGTGCTCCTTGCCCTAAGTAACATGGATAAGATAAAGAAGCAGGAAGATGCTGTTAAAGTGATTTGCTTGTTTGCTTTTGCTGTCTTCTGCTTGCCATGAACTAGCTCTGCTCTACAACTCCCCTCTGCCAAGCCACCCTACCTTGGAGCCAGCTGATTATAGACTGAAACCTCTACCACTCAGCGATCCTCCTGCCTCAGCCTCCCCAGTGCTGGGATTACAGGCGTGTGCCACCATGCCCGGCACCTCCTGCCTCAGCCTCCCCAGTGCTGGGATTACAGGCGTGTGCCACCATGCCCGGCTTTCTTCTTTCTTTTTTTTTAGAAGTTGTACTTTCTGAAATATTTTCTCTTGTTACATGACTCGTTTTGAGTTAAATTTTATTTTGGACAGAACATGCTGTGGTACCGAATTCTGATTCAGTGTATTTATTATATTTAAGCTAAAATTATAAAGAATAATTAGGGTATAGGTTGTGAATATATTTACTTTCTACTTGGAACTATAAAAGATTTAAAACATCAAGCAATAAGCCTCCTTTCATTATTGGTTACTGCAGTTATATATAGGGATACACTGATTTTTACAGCATAAGGAGGTATACTTCCCAGCACCATAAGTAGCTATGTTAATCAAAAGACAAACCTTACTTTCCATTACGTTTTCTTCTCCCATTGAAGATTTTCCTGGATCAACATTTTTTATCATTTAGTATTACATTAACAAATTTATATTTTGTGCAAATGTATTTCCATTACATTTATCTTTTTTGGCCTCACAGAGCCTCCTATCAAACTTTCATAAAAGACTGTTTAGCCATGGATAGCACTTTAGTTGGTGGTTATTTCTTCTGGACAGAAACTCTTCATGTCGTTCTTTTCATTGCCAGACGACATTTGGTAAATCACCCACCTTTTCAGATATTTGTAAAACACTAAATGTTATTGGTTACGTGTTTGTATACAAAGTATAGAATATTTTTGAAAAAGAATGTTACTCTCGAGGTTTGGCACAATTACTGACAGGCAAGAGAAATATGTTCTGAGTTAACCAGAATCGTAAGAATCATCCATTAGCTTCAGGGCCACCGAACATCCTTAATTTGTTATTGCCATGAAATCTTTTCTGTCTTGTGCCTGACCCAAAATGCTGAGGCTTTGAAAACTTAGCTCTGGAGTTTTAGGCTCAATGCATTCAGAGTACCGTAATCCTCAGAATAGCTTCTAGCTACAGAAATCTGCGTTGCCCTTCCCACCCCCGCGTCAGCATTCCCTGCATTCACCTAATGTCTCTGAGTATTTTTGCGATTAGTAATAGACTACACTCATCAGATAGTCGCACGCAGCTCCTTTTAGATGTGAAGAAGTTCCACCCAAACGCCATTCCCCGTGGAGTCCCTGAGACTACATTCTGAAGGTCGCCCGGGTGGCCTGCGCCATTTGGGTGCCGTAAAAACCGCATTACCCTGGAGTCCCCGCGGCTCTGAGCCCAGCGGAACCCGGGAAAGGGCTGTTTCCGTTGCTGGGGAGGATGGCAGGGTGGGACTTCCTGTTACCTCCTCCGGCGGACATGTTTCCTTTTTGTTAATAGGTGAGTCCCCGGAACGCAACGTCAGACCTCTAGTGACGAAAAGGGGAAAACAGAAGGAAAACCAGAGAGAAGGCGTTGTCGTCCAAACAGCCGGGCCTGAGACTCCGTAGTGGCGCCGCCCGTGCGACCTGGCGCCGGGCTGGACTAGGCTGCGGGCGTGGAACCCTATTCCCCGCACCTGTCGCTCTCCCTTCTTGGTCCTCAGAACTGATGGCGGTGGCCGCAATGATAGACACTGCGCAGGTGGGTTCGTCCCTGGGTCCTAGTTCGGAATCCTAGGTCTGGAGCAGTGGAGGCTCTTGTGGTTGAGTCCTTTTCGGACAGCCAGTTAGTTATGTAGGTGGCGAAAGGACCGCACAGCGACCGGGATCCACATGTGCAAAAAAGCTCCAGGTGCGGCACACAAGGAGTGTTCGGGGGACCTGGGCAGCTGGAGTTCTGCTCAGAGGCGTTGGGATCCATGGAAGCGTATGAACGGGGGAGATATGTAATGTGAGGATTTAGAGAGTGAACTCAAGACTGTTCAGGAAGAATAGTATAGGTATGGAAAAGATGCGAATGGCGAGGCACACTTGGACTGAGAACGAGTCCAACACGTTAGTAACACGTTTGTTCAGAGGCGACCCAGAAAACAGGTAGAGGAGGTAGACAGTGAGCTCCAGGTCACTTGTAGCATAGTGGGAGTCAGGGATACACTAGAGCTCTTGGGGCTTAATGGTTTCTTTCGCCTCACAGTTTCCCTCTCTCCACAGGTTCCTGTGAACTCAGAAGTAATTATGGTACCTAAACAGGTGAGGGAAGGATGTCCATGGGCTCACCAAGCCCACGCTCACCTATATGGTCTCCAGGACTGTGATTTTTTTGTTTTTTTTTCCTTGAATGTGAATGCCCTAGAGAAATCCCAAGCTCAGGGTCCGGAGTCCAGCCTAGGGGTGGTATGGAGAAGTTCCCATTTCTACCAAACATTGAAATAGGTTGAAAAGTTGTTCTATACACGTGAGCCAACATGAGCAAATACTTGAGATGAGACTGAGATGGGAGTATAAAGAAACTTCAGGTCATGCAGGCATGGTAGCACACACCTGTAATCCAACAGTTGGGGAGGCTGAGGCAAGAGGATTGCTGCAAGTTTAAGGCTAGTATGGGCTATGTCATTTCAAGTCCATCCAGAACTATATAGCAAGGACCACCCCCACCCCCACCCCCAAACAACCTGAAGAAGCTGCGGGTCTCTGCTATGTCTGTCAGGAGTCAAGGGCAGAGAAGCAAAAGTCAGGCCTGAAATGGCTGGCAGAGGAACAGAACCTCTATTCCAAGGAATTGGGAAGTGTGGAGCAGAAGAGGGAGGTAATCTGACCCAGGTTTTATCAGCCTCTTTCTAGATGCCAGGTGGAGAGCTGACTGGGCTTGCTAAAATTTATTGAGGTGTAATGGAGGCAAAGGGACCAAAAAGAAAAGTTACTAATTTATTTCAGGTAAATGGTGACAACAAATGGGCCAGAGGGACGGCTATGTAGACAGGAGAAGTGATTGGATTGAAATTTCTAGTGTGAGACAGAAAAACAATGCACTGAGGTTTTTAGACTTATCAGTGAGAAGGATAGGAGCTCCATATCTGAGATCAGCAAGTCAGTGTTGGACGTATCTTTCACTGTGGATATCAGGCTTTTATTTCTGGCCATGTGAAGAGTCTGAGAGGATCCAGAGAACACTGAGTGGAGTTACCAAGTAGACCGGTGGGCTCGCAGAACTGGAGCTGTACACAGGAGTCCGTGGTGGAGACAGAAAGTTAGATGATGATGGAGAGACTGGGGTTTAGGGTAGAGAATTACATCACAATGGTAGTACAGTTAGTGAGCTAGAAAGGTGAGGATGGAAGCTACTAACTGGGTGGAAGGATGGAGTTTTGGAACAGGTGTGATCCAAAGAATGATATACACATGGACAAGTATAGACTGATAGGCCCTGGGCCTTTGTACTAAGCCTAAGAGAGCAAGATGAGCTCAAGGTTGGCTGACAAGAATGACCTTAGCAACCCCAGAGGAATTACCTGGCAGAAGGTAGAGCCATGCCCAGAATTTAAATGGTCCTCTTCTGCCCAGCTGCCTATTGTTACTATGGGTGGACATGATTAGTAGGACTGAGAAAAGAGCAGACACCAGTGTCACCTGGTTGTTATTTCCTCTGAGTTGAAGAGTTAGGTAAGTGGCAGTTAAGTGGGGGAATGGATGGGGGTCCTCGGGAGAGAGGCTGCTTATGGACTTGGCTCTCCCCATTGTGGCAGGGGCAGGTGAACTTTGAGGATGTGTTCGTGTGCTTCTCCCAGGAGGAGTGGGAACTCCTTGATGAGGCTCAGAGGTTCCTGTACCAAGATGTGATGCTGGAGAACTTTGCTCTTACGGCCTCACTGGGTAAGGCCATCACACCTACCCCAGTGTCCTGGACTGGACTCTCCCCAGGTCAGCCTTGTCCTTCCTGTGTCAGAGCCATGGGCTCTACTGCCTTCCCCAGTTCCCTGAAAGTGCTGTGGATGATAGGCCTGAATGTGCCCTGCTGCCTCCTGCTTTTGAGTAGCCCCAAATGATAGATCTGGCAATCACACGTCTTAGAGTCAACCCAGTGAATCATATTCATCTTGCCTCCTCCCTGACTGGGTATCTCCCCCTGTACTTGTGTTACCAAGACTCTGCCCACTAGCTGACATTTCCTATGGCTGACCTATGCCAAGAAATGTAATGACAAGTTTGATCACTACTTGCTGAGACCAATGGGCTGACTCCTTTGAGATTATTTTACAACACTTGGTTTTCTTCTCTGTGCCGGCCATTTGACCATCCTGCCTTCCCTTCAGGATATACATCTTTTTTTTTTTTTTTTTTTTTTTTTTTTTTTTTTTT